TCAATCGCACATTTGATGGGTAAATAAGATGTAATATACACAGGTTGCTTGCCCTCTTATCATGCTGTTTATTATCTAATATTTGTTGTATTTATGTATAAATGTAATGGAACATTATTCACATTAGCTTGGTTACTAATCCATAATAACTTTTGGTGAATGAAATATGATTCAGATATCCATGGGCCAAGTATACCCCTTACCAAACCTTGTCTTTTGAATATAGAATAAGGCAATATAGTGGAATGATAGATGATACAGCATTTGATATAGATATTGTGTTGGGTTGTTGTTGTTGTGTTGATGTTTACATCTACTTCCAACTGTTAAGTTGATGTCACCGACATGGATGCCATATTTAAAGCCATGAGTGAGGGAATACAATTTTGAATGGATATGGACATCCAAGTAAAAACTGGGTATTTAGTTAAAGTTTCGAATATAGTAATGATTTTAAGGTAAGCCAATTTGGAGTAAGTGGGGATAAGTAAATTATTGAAGCATAAAAATTAGTAAATGATAATATATAACAATAGTAATGATAGAATATCTTTGCTTTTATGCTTGCTTTTCTTTTTAATCACACCTTATATAAGGATATTGAAACAAAATGTGAACCATGTACATGCATGTTATATATGAAGATGAAGATGACCTGTAAATTGATGACATCAACATGAATATCTTATCAATGTGTTCACGTGAATAGCTATGTCTTGTTTTCGATTCTGACTTTTTCAAGACAAACATAAACATGAAAACAAGGTTGGGGAAGAAATAGCCTAGCTAGGCCAGAATCTCCCCCTTTTGTTATAAGAACAAGGGTTTGAAACAAGTAGCCTTTAAAGATGATTCAAGGGTGGGGAAAGTTTGGCCTAGGACAAACTTTCCCCGGGAAGATTAAGCCTAGGTGTGTGTGTGTGCGTGCGTGTGTGTGTTTACACCGGGTTGATTCCCCATGTGGGTACAATGTGTGATGCTCATTTCTGGTGTCGCCCGCCGTGATACTGCTGGAATATTGCTAAAAGCGGAGTAAAACCTTGCTCACTCACTCACTCAGAGAACAGGGAGCTCAGACGTCTAAGGCACCACAGTGTACCTTGGATGTGCAAGTGACGTATGTTCCTGGGTTCAAATCCCAGTTTGTCCATTTTATGTCTTTAGGTTTGTCAGTACCAAACCCACGTTGATGGGTTTCATGAAAGAAGTAAGAATCTGAGGCCTGCATCACTGAGGACATGAAGCTAACATAGCACGATATAACAAGTATACTGTTCCCTGTGGTGTCAAACCCAACTCACTCACTACCTCTAGATTGGGGCCTATGATACAATCTAATCTGCATGTCATGCAATCCAAGGTAGTCATGTCTTAATCAAGGTGAAGGTCGTTTGTTCATAGGCTCAGAGTATTGATAACCAGAGGTTGCCTAAGAGAGGTGATCGAGTTGCAAATTGTGAAGCAATGTAGTGATTTCTGAACATTACTATCACGCTAACTTGAATCATTATTGTGCGATTAGCATTATTATTGTTGTTTTCATTGTTATTCACTATGCAAGGTAGACTTTTAGTTTTGATTTCTTGTTCCTCTTTGTTTTCTGGTTGTCACAAACAGCTGACAGTGTTGCCGATTTTGATGAATACGTGTACATCAAAACAAGCTGAAAATATGATGAATGAAGAACCATAGTTGTCAAACTGATTTATCCACTCATTAGTTAGCTGAATCTTACAATCAGCAGATACTGGACCAGAAGCAAACATTTAGACATTACAAATTATTTGAGGTTATTAATTCTGTTTACATTTAAGATTAAAAATATTTGAAAAAAGCATGACCATTAGAGCTCATCTCATGTGGAATTCAAATATTGATCAGTTTACTGATTAGGTTAGTCTCCCTTACAGACCCTGAAGCAAATATATCCAAAAAAGCCCACACAAGTCTAGAAAATGTGGCAAGTCTAGATTTCCTCAGCTTCAGGTTCAGTCTCAGGGCTCCTTTTCATTATATTTTTTTTTTTACTATGAACTTTTTTCAGTAAAATATGTTCATTTCAGAGACTAGTTGTTAGTCTATGATTAGGTCAATATTCAGTGATTATAATTGGTGTCGTAAAGAATTAAAGAAGGACACTTAAAAACATTGTTAAGTCATATATGTTGACATTACCAGGGTGCCTATTGGAATGGGGCTTTGTTCTGTAGCCCTGGTAAGCTGTAAGATTGTTGACATGGCGTTAAACAATACTCGCTCACTCACTCTTTCACCATAAATAATCATTGTGTTGACACAAACTTACTTGAGATGGATCAATCTTGTCGTTGTGTGCACAACACACACCTTGTCACGACTCACCTGCGATTTGATTGATGCCCGTGTATTTAGGCCAAAAAGAATCTCTACTAAAGATAACTAGACATTTCAGTCCAACATTTCATTAACAATTAATGCAGAGATTGCTAAGCAGAATATAAATTTTAAATTTTAAATTTAATTATATCTTTTAATATTTAAAAAATCTTCATCCGAGATAAATGTCAATACATTGAAATCTTAATTTAAAAAATTAGAAGTTTAATTTAACAAACTTCAAAATCACAAAGTTAAAATGACAGTTACTTTTGTTGATGAGTATACATAGCTAGGTAGACCAAGACACATTTACATGTACTGACACTATGCAGTTCAGTAAGTCACACAACAGAATGTATGTGTTCACTGAAAAGGCTTGAAGATCGCATTGTCCTGTTCCCAATGTCTCACAGAGCAATGCATCGTGTGCACAATGATTTTATCACTTTGTTGTTCACTGTCTAGGTCAACCAAGCACGATAAGAGAGACAGACCCTGACATAGCACAGGAAGGCAATTAGGACATGTTGATTAGTGGTGCTAAACACTATACAGCCTCACTCCGAGTGGGGGCGGCTACTGCAAAGGGGTGTGGCTGCTGCATTCTGGGATTTGTTGTCCATGGAGACAGATGTGTGATGGGAATCAATAAATGGATGTGTGATTCGTCAGCTACCTGGTTTTCAGGATATATCGTGTCCCAATAATCTGTCATGTACAGGAAACAGTATTCATGGTATGCATTGCACGGGTGGATTCAAGAATTTTAAAATGGGGAGTTCGAATATTGGGGAAGGGGGAAAGAGGTGCACACCACCCAACTCAATAAGTGGTAGTTGTCAGGGATGCCCTGCAGCACCCATATCTGGATCCGCCAGTCTCTTTAACTGACGTGGCACGATATTTTTAACTATCGTTAAAAAGAATTGGATGGTCCCTAACTGCTTTTGAGTAGTATAATTAGGTTAATGCAGGTATTTACCTGTTGGCCTAATCTATGTCACAGAATGTAAGATGGCAGACAACCTGGGAGGTGTATGAATTAACTGAGTGAAATTGCAGTTGCTGCCAAATAGCTCAATCCTGGTCTGCGTCTGTGAACTGTATCCTCGTTATATCAAAGGGTTCCTTGGGAGGAAGGTGCTGGGGCAAAAGAAATTATATGTCCCCTTACCTATTACATACTTTTTTAAAAAAGGGTAGGTGGGTCGATTTTATCTTCTTTTTTTTAATTTTAACATTTTTGTTAGTAGCACCACATGTGCAGCTAAGAATGTCTTCAAGGATACCATATCATGTTGTGACAATGCCTTGTGATGAAACATTGAAAGATCTTTCTATCAAATCATTATTCATGTTATGTATTTGCAGGTTTTGTCAGTGAGAGCCCTTTATGCCAATTCAGTGCAATCCATTTTAGCCTTATGTACACTGAAAAACATGAAAATATCATACTCGATTTGGATGAAAATGATGAGTTGAAATGCACTCCAGTCGTGATTTTGACTTGGATAGGGTCGGCTGGGTAACTGGAAAAGGATATAAATATATTTTTTGGGCCTAAGTGATGCATGTTGTAGATGGCTACCACTCAGACTGGCAAACAAAGATTTGGTACCAACAAACCAGTCATTATCAGGGATTTGAACCCAAGACCAGCAGACCTTGTTATCTCACTCTTCTATAAACTATGGATGTCAACCTATAAGGAACGCTTCATGCGTTCCTCATGATACAGAAGTTGACATCCAAAAAGTTTGCCCCAATATGTATATAACTTTTGAATCCCCAAAAATAATATTTGCAACAGATGACCAAAAGTATAATATGAATATTGTTTGAAACTGTATGAACTGGTGGAATTTACTCTCATCTGACCAAAATGACATTGCCTGATCAATCGTTATAAATAATACTGTTGGCCTCATGGCCATTCATACAAATGAAATCATCTGTCTGTCTGTCGTTATAAATAATCCGAGTCTATATTTGTGTTGCTCATTTAACAAACATCGGAAATGATGTACAGAAGAACTTTGTTTTCAATCAAGGATGTTGTGTTCACATGAAGATTCCAAGTTACAGTTGGTCTTTGACAACATCTGGTTGTCGTAAGAGGCGACAAAGTGGATTGGATGGTCAGACCTGCTGACTTGGTTGATGTGTCCCAATAGCTTAGGTTGTGCTCATGATACCATTCCACGGGACATGATCCAGACTCGGATACTTGCAGACCACTGTCACAAGCCTGCAGTTTGGCTCATTGTAAACCAAAAGTCACTGTTCTTAAATGTGATCGGTTGAAAACCATGACCAAATGATATTCGACTCCCTGACATTTCAAGACTATTTGTATGCATATTATACGTACAAGTAATTGGTACTTTTTTTTGCTTCCATGTCAATAGTGCAGACAGAAAAATGTGTGGACCTTTTGGTTTACTTTTGTGTTTGCAATGTCGATATTTCATTTGAAACCTCTGGTTAACACCATCGCAAATGAATTCCCTTGCATCAAATACTCAATAACACCCTGAAATTGGCCAACACATGATGTTTGTCTCCTAATAGTGGCATGAAAAAACAAACAACAAACTGTTATTCTTTAACCGATATTTACAAATATGAATTTGTTATTTCAGACAATGGTCGATGTTGCGACACCGGGTTGCAGCAGCGCTGACAGCATGGATATGAAGTCATCCACCTTCAGCGATGATGTCATACCAAAGGGAGAGAGGTTTGCAGTGCCCATGACCAGCCGTGTTTGTGATAGACGCAAGAAGTCATCGAATGTCCTACATCAGATCGTCGGTGACGACCTCCTTGTACCTCAAACCAGCAGTGCCTGCAGCGCTTTCGTAGCATCCTCCTCATGTAGCAATAACCACAAACAGTGCAACAAAGATTCCATGCTGCCTGGAAGTGATGTGTTTACTGTTTTCTCTAACGGAACAGGTAACGTCACACACCACAGACATGATAATTTCACTGTTCCTGGAACAAGCAGTTCTGCTGATCTTTTAACAGTGCCATCTTCAAATAGCAATGACATTACTGGGAAAGTTGATGAAGATTTCCCCATGCCTGGAACCAGCAGTGCCTTTGAAAGATGTAAAGCACAATCTACCCGAGTTAATGACGTCATGCATTGGAGGGACTTATCTGAGACGTCTACTCGAAGCAATGACGCCTTGCAGCAGAGTTCTGATGATGATTTCGATTTTCCTGAAACAAGCAAGGCTTGCAATATGTTTACAATGCCATTTTCCTGTACAGATAAGGGTTTGAAACAAAGAGTGTCTGCTGATTTCGCAGTGCCTTGGACAAGCCATAATAACGATGTGGATATGACGTCATACTTGAATAGAAATGTTGGCAAGAGTCCAATGTTGTCCGATGGAACAAAGGATATTAATGATGAAGAACCCATGGCAAGCACTTTTGACAATAGCTGTGATAATAAATATGACTCAAAGCAACGCAATGACAGCGGTATTTCAATGTCAGATTGTGAATATGTGGAAAAGCATAATAATTTTGTTGATAGCAGAAATGGCCGATTGTCCTCAACAGATAGTGCTTTGGAAGACTCTTTCAAGGACCAACATTCCATTTCCTACTTGGACCAATCAGTTAATCATTCTGTGATGCACACTGACAGTGCCTTTGACAATCAGCCAATCGTTTGTGACAATATTGCTGACAATGGACCAATGAAACTGTCTGATACATTCCCCTCCATCCTCTGTGATATTCCCGCCTCAACTGTGGTGAGTTTGGCCCTTTATTTTAGTTTAAATAAGATGGTTTAGGCCAGATTATATCATTTTGATATTTCAAATATTGGTTGTGAGATTCATTGTTTTAATGCATTGTTCAGGATCTTATTTAATCATCTTATCTCAGTATGGATATGTCATCACATTAATCTGTTTTAAAACTGTATCCAAAGTTTCAAATTCAGTTTATTTTTAAACATTAATTTCTTTTGTATGCAAAAAACGTTACTTTGGTTACAGAAGTCTTTGAATGAGCTATGGCTGTAATGCTTAACATGAAAAAAAGTATTTACGGGAAGAACATTTGTTCCAAGGCAGATAATCCAATTCAAACCTGTCATTTATAAGATATATTGATCAAAATTAAAATAATATACAAAATACATTGAATTATTTCAATGATACATGTGCAGGAATACAGGCATCTTACTTATACCACCTAAGAATTTATGTTTTACTTCCATATTTTCTGAAATGTGTCACATGGGTACAATGTGTGAAGCCCATTTCTGGTGTCCCCCGCCGTGATATTGCTGGAATATTGCTAAAAGCGGCGTAAAACCAAACTCAGTCAGTCAGTCTGAAATGTGTCCTTTAGTCAAATATTTGCATATAGTATAGGTTAATTAATATATATTAATGCTTTGGCAAACTGGAAAAAGAAGTGAAAACTAGAACCTAAATGTGTGAGTATTCTGTTCTGTAAAGAGAAAATTACAAATGTCCATTGATCCATCGTTGTTTGTTGTTTAACGGCGCACTCAGCAATATTCCAGCTATATGGCGGCGGTCTGTAAATAATCGAGTCTGGACCAGACAATCCAGCTATCAACAGCATGAGCATCGATCTACGGAACTGGGATATGATGACATGTGTCAACCAAGTCAGCAAACCTGACCACCCGATCCCGTTAGTTGCCTCGTACGACAAGTGTGGGTCGCTGAAGACCAATTCTAACAGGTTTCCATAATAGTGACAGGGAAAGTTGGTCTTGGGAGACGATATGCTTCACAAAGACTGACAATATATAGATTAATTTGTTTCAATTATTTTTTAAATCTTTGTGGTGTTTGGGAGATAGATGATTCACATAAAGACTTGTAACATATATGCTGGTCACTAGAGGCAGGGGTAGTATGGTAGCCTAGTGATTATAAGCGTTCGCTCGTCACCCGGGTTCGATTCCCCACATGGGTACAATGTATGAAGCTGGTGTCCCCCGCCATGATATTGCTTAAAGCGGGATAAAACCCAACTCACTCACTCACTAGAGGTGACATAATGGATTAGGTAATAATGATCCATGACTCAGTGGATCGTGTGTCATGGATCCGTACTAACAATACCGGTTAGTAGATTGTTTGGTCCAAACCACTTATTTACTGGTGAAGGGTTAAACAACAAACACACATTCTTTACATTTTATGGAGAAACAGAATCATGATAATTAGTTTGCTTCATTTACAAAAATAACATATTGAATCCAACTTCTATAACTAGGGCTGTGGGTAGCCTATGGTTGTATATTGATTCTCAAGCCCATTTCTGGTGTCCCCCCGTGATATTGCTGGAATATTGCTAAAAGCGGCGTAAAACCAAACTCAGTCAGTCAGTCAGTGGTACTTTAACTATAATAGTTCATGGCGAAAGTGTGTTTTATTACACTATACATGGTGGTAGAGCGAACTGTATTTCTTAAACAGAATCATGATAATTAGTTTGCATCATTTACGAAAATAACATATTGAATCCAACTTTTATCTTATGTGTATATTGTCTCTGGTGGTTATGTTTCAAAACTAGTGGTAGTAATTGAACTGAGGCCAAACTTTAGCCAAAGGAATGCGTTTCAGCCATATCACAGCAATATGGTCAGCAGGGTTATCTCCCTTTAACAAAAGCAGTCGAGGCATTTTTGCTTGTGTATAGTCAGGAAGTTCAGCATATGTTAGTTGTGGAAATCTAATGAGGTGATAATTTATAAATGTGTAGTTATCACTGTTCACAGGAATTCAAGTTACTACAAAATATGAATGTATGCTTTTACACTTATAAAAACCATGTCTGCTCACATGCGACTCAGACAATCAAGTTAGCCAGAGGCTTTCATGTATGGACAGACACCTGCACTAAGAACCCACTTTATAGCAAACACAAAGACACTGCAAAACACAAACAGGTTCAAACTGCCAACAGTTTTCTAATTTTGTTTGTACATGAGATTTGGGTATCTTGGTGGGTAGGAGGGGAAAAATTGATTAATGCTCATTAAACTTTACATTTTGTTTGTGTAAATAAACTGTTCTCTACATTGAAGATAACTACATCCGTGTACATCATGTTAGAGTTACTGGGGCAGTGGGGTAGCCTGGTGGTTAAAGCGTTGGCTCGTCACACCGAAGACCCGGGTTTGAATCCCCACATGGGTACAATGTGTGAAGCCCATTTCTGGTGTCCCCCGCCGTGATGTTGCTGGAATATTGCTAAAAGCGGCGTAAAACCAAACTCAGTCAGTCAGTCAGTGTTGTAGTTATTTAGACAGTGACATTTTTCGAAAGTAGAGTGAGTGAGTTTAGTTTTATGTGGCACTCAGCAATACTCCAGCTATATAGTGGCGGTCTGTAAAAATCAAGTCTGGACCAGACAATCCTGTGATCAACAGCATGAGCATTGATCTACGCAATTGGGCTACGATAACATGTGTCAACCAAGCCAGCAAGCCTGACCACCCGATCCCGTTAGTCGCCTCTTACGACAACATGGGTTACTGAAGACCAATTCTAACCGAGATCTTCATGGGTTTCGATAGTACATGATACAGGATACAGTGTTCTGCACGGCATATATCGTGGGTGTATATGTCAGATGTATCACATGTAGATGAAAGTATCATCAAAGTAGGTGACATTTATTATTCAAGAATTTGGCATGAACATGCTTCCATAGGTTTTTGTTACCTCATTTATATCACAAATCTTTTGAGGAGTAAAGGTGAACATTAATTAGAATAAAATCATTATTGTATTTTTTTCAAATTTAAATCCTGTAAGACCTGTGGATCTATAGCTAATTTTACTAAAAGTAGATTGAAGTTATGTATTTTTAAAGTGTTAAAGCTGTTTGCTCTTTAAAGTGTTGAAGTAGTTGAAAGCCATGTGTGAACACCATTTTAGGTTACCCCTGGTGTACTATTGAAGGAATTCTGCTAATTAGTGCAGCATTAACTCACCTGTTCAGTCATTTGTCAACTGCGCATTCTTTCTCCGGCTCAAACATTTTCAACATCTCTGAGGCTGCAGGTACTATGAAACAGGGAAATTTGGTGGTGATCCCTAAGGAAACTGAACTCAATTTAACACATTACTCCCCAACTGCGGACTTAATAAATATGTTTTTACTCTTCACAAATGATTTTGTTTGTGCAAGTCATTGTGTAAATGAGTTTATTGTTCAGCTACACTAATCATCTAGTCTCTGAAGTGAACATATATTACAGAAAACGGTTAGTAAAGTATATTGATAATATATAATAAAAAGGAGCCCACAGACTTTCTTCCTGAAACTGTGGTAATCTGTACTTGCATGGGCTGTATTATGTTTATTTGTTTCAGGTATTACAGACTAGAGTTTAGCATGTTTATCTCTTTGTGTCTGTTCATGTAATATAGAAGATATTATTTATATGAGTGCCCATGTCATACTATGTTTACGGCATGAGTACCTAAATGTGGATATACAGACATTTAGGCACCAGTGTTGTAAACATAGTATGACATGGCCACGAATATAATATTCTATTTATTACCGATGTTATCAAATTGAGGAAAATATATCCAAATCTACTTTCAAATATAGGCTGGCTACCTGCTGTAGCCATCATAGAAGAAACGTGATATCATAGCATTGTTCATGACGTCACGTCACCATGACAAAGTGATATTTTGCCCTAGGGCATCGTATGAAAATATTAACCCAGATATTTTCACCCTCGTAGGTAATAAAAGTTTATATCATGATCTGTTGATGGCACTGTTCAAGTTATTGTTAATTTCTGAAAAGTTTCCCCCGTTACGATCCTTGCATTGTCAGGGGAAGGTAACATTGGTGACAGAGATCTACTGTTTTTGTACCATGTTACGATCCTTGCATCGTCAGGGGAAGGTAACATTGGTGACAAAGATCTACTGTTTTTGTACCATGTTAGATACCTGGGATATAACAGAAATACTGTGGTGTTAAACACGAATCACTCACTAACTCACTGTTCTCCCTTTGAAACACTGTGATATACCTGATATACTATTAGATCCAACTAATCCACATTTTTAATCCAGTAACGTCATGCATGAAGACATGAATGTAACCTTGTATGAATCATTATTTAAGAAACTCCTTAGGAATTGATCGATAAATTTTTAAAAATGAAGCAAATTATTGACTTTAATACTGAGATTCCAGATGACATCTTTTCCTTCATCACAGGAGAGTGGCCCGTCTGTGATAGTGGAACGACAACCACGTGATTTTATTAAGCTGCTCAGTGAACGTCTGCATGTACCCGACTCCGATGAATTCGACACGGATGACAGTCACCAGATGCAATGTCAGCAGTTCTACCGGAGTCTGAGGCTGGAAGTCAATGAGAAGATCATCTCAGACACCGATTCCGACAGTGCTGACTCAGGGGTTGCTGAGCACCGCAAACGTTCCTACCACAGGCGACGAATGAGCAGGTATCGCCACAGAGGTGAGACCAGGCTTGATGCTTATACTTCAGTATATGATTCGTCTCTGCCAACAGCATAATACTGTCCTTTAGGTCATATTTATCCAAAGCACTTGATATGCAATAGTTTAGTTAATGAATTAATGAAACTGAATTTAGTTTTGTTTTACGACTGTGATAGAAAAAGAATTGTCATCAAATGAACCTACATGTACTTGAATTTCATGAATGTATGACCCTGGATGTTTGACCCTGGATGTATGACCCTGAATGTATGACCCTGGATGTATGACCCTGGATGTATGACCCTGAATGTATGACCCTGGATGTTTGACCCTGGATGTATGACCCTGGATGTATGACCCTGGATGTATGGATGTATGACCCTGGATGCACACACATCATGATTTTCCAAAACAACTGCGCAACTGGATATGTCAATGCAACGCTTATTGGTCTACACAGCTTCAACTTGGGATAAACACTTGACTATGTAATTTGCATTACAAAATGAATCCTCCTTTGAACACAAACTAATTTGAGTGATATTTGATCTGTAATATGTTTTGTCTGTATATTCTTATGCCATTAGAATACTAAAAGCCATCGGTAGCTCCCACACTCTAAAATATTTGTTGTCACCTACATAAGATTTTCATCTGAAGCGGTCTCATATCCGAACTTCATCCACACGAGTTCAACTGGTTCAACTCCTTGAGTACATTAAGAAAAGAGTCTTTGTTAACTTAATGACATACATCATGTTTGTTATGCTGCTCGTTGTTGATGCCAGACAATCCAGTGATTGTCATCATGGGCATCATGCATCAATACTCATGACAATAATGAGCAGTTAAAACTATACACTAAAATCAAGGTCAGTTTCAGTTGAATGTCTTTGAAAACTGTGAAAATATATTCTGTACAACAATATCCTTGGAAAAAATCAAAGAGGTGTCAGGGTGAAATGGGTTTAAACTGTTCATGAACATGTGACTGGAGAGGATCGAGGTTTAACATGGATGCACAACTCCAACATATACCAACTTCAAACAAAGGAGTCTTGCTTTATCCATTAATTTACCATTCTTGGTATGACATGGCCAGTGAATCAAATAATTTACCTTCCGCTTTCCATTCAAAATTTTTATCCACTACACATAGGGACGGTGGGGTAGCCTAGTGGTTAAAGCATTGGCTCGTCATGCCGAAGACCCGGGTTTGAATCCTCACATGGGTACAATGTGTGAAGGCCATTTGTGGTGTCCCCCACCGTGATGTTGCTGGAATATTGCTAAAAGTGGCGTAAAACCAAGCTCAGTCAGTCAGTCCACTACACATAGATCTTATGAAAGTTTATGGTTGTGTTTGTGAATGTGAAAGTAGACAGGACCATTCATAAATGGCATCCAATGATGAACAAGAAGTACATCTGCTACTCAATGAGAAGCGCAATGGAAGATGAAAGTACTCTCGTTATGATTGGTTTCTTTGGGTTCATTCATTTGTTCCTGCAGATTTCATTTTGGTAACTTTTCCTTAGCAGTCATAATACCACATTTTTTTGTGTGAAATATCTGTTGCTCCAAAATTTAGTCCCTCAGGTACCAAGGGAGACAACTAGGCCAAAAAAATTAAACATCAAATGGGCACATATGGGCATTTCTGGCCCAAGATCACCCTGAAACTTTACCCACCTACCTTAAACATTAAAAGCAGAACAAGGGAGACAATCCACAATTGTTAAGTTGAATTTGTGATACTGTTAATACATGGAATTAAACACAGCTAATCCTCTCAGTAATTTCCATTGCTGTATTTCCTTTCTGTCATGTCTTGACTTTGTACTTCAGTGGGGCAGTTGGGTGGTCTTGTGGTTTAAGCGTTCGCTAGTTACACCAAATATCTGTGTTTGATTCCCCACATGAGTACAATGTGTCAAGCGCATTAGTAAAAGTCCCTTAAAAACTAAACTCACTTTCTCAATGTACTTCAGCTTTCAGCAAGGCACAGCTTTTGACTAAAGTCATTTTACGGCACTTCATCCACTATAGAAATATCTCACAGATGAGAACCCAAAAGATGAATTGTCATAACATTGACTTCACAACATCCTTGAGTTTTCAAGTAATATCACCTCATATATCAAATATGTTAAAAATACAAATATGATACCTACAAATGTACAAACTGATTAAAGGTGTATAATCCGACTTTCATCACCAGGCTACAGCTCAGGGTAAGCTGCACATTTCTGTGTTATATTATATTCATATACAGATCATAACCAGATACATTATCAGTGACTTGTGTCAAATATGCATGAAAACTTAGAAAAACCAATCAAAGTCAACAGAACAACTGTGTGTAATTATCAAATGCTTTAAATTCAGCAAGTGTATCAATATGTCTGTGGGGATCCAAATTTACTGATTAAATACAGGAATCACATGTGTTACGTATGAAATTATGAATATTTCAACTTGAGCACATTGGAGGCATTACAAGATGGACAGTAGACAGTTTATAATGCCACACTGGTAACCGGGCCAAACTTCAGCCTACAAAGAAGAGTTATCCCCCTTGCACCTCTCAACCTAAAGAATCGCAGCCTGATTGCACTGGAACATTACATGACAAATATACTCATGTTTAATTCATAGCAACAAGAACAAAAGCAAGGCTGCTCTTTAATGTTCCTTTTAAAAAATATTAATCTTAGTGCAAGTGAATGAAAACGTCATCCAGAAATATAACATTTGCATTGCTATACAAATGTATCCAAACATTGTAGAAATATTCACATCTAGAGCGAAACCAGTCCATAATATTAGCAGACTAGATGACACCGGTTTTGCACTATATATACCTGTTATATATATTTTTTAATATTTTAATTTATTTTAAAGTTTACATAATCAGACAGGAGACTGGTGTGAGTCAGATTTCAATTTCAAAGCAAGTTAACAGGTGCCTTGAATATGTATTGCCTTGAGGCATAACTGGAGACATTCTTGTGGACATGACATTGCAGCAGACCTAGCAACAAAAACAAGATGGTGTAAAATTAATAATATTTATACCATTGCCAAACAATTATTATTGAAACTTAAATTATAAGACTTTTATCATTAATTCTTGCTTATACAAACAATTTCTCAATCAAACATGTTTGTTTATTAATATACATGGACATGGTACTGGATTCTATTTTTGCTGCTGACTAAAATATTTAAGCCAGTCTAATTTGGTTGCTTATTTCAAACTGAGTAGGGTAGCCTAGTCATTAAAGAGTTTACCCGTCACACAGAAGACCCAGGTTTGATTCCCAACAATGTGTGAAGCCCATTTCTGGGATTTCCCGCTGTGATATTGCTGGAATAGCCCATTTCTGAAATTTCCAAGTACAGATATTGTCTTTTCATGTTTATGGAATAATTGCTAAAATCGAACATTGAAAGTTTTGAAACATAGAATTACAGGCTTTTCTTGTTTTTATGAATGGTTTATCTCACTGGATAATTATGTACATTTGCTTTTAAATAAATACAGACTGCCTCTGTGGTTTATTGTTTTTCTGAACATCGATCCTCTAGTTTTGAAAAATAGAATTGACTTGTCAGTCCCTGCCTTTGCGCATTAATTTACAACAAGACTGGTATGAAGTCAGTATAAAACTGAGTGGGGTATTCATGCTCACTGTGCATGGTCCCAGTGGGCTAGCACTATAAAACCAGCTTTAGTCTGGGCATACAGGCTTTTAAATAAATACAATGCACGTCATATGAGACATAAATAACCATGTCATGTATAAATACTTTATGGCATGAAAAACATAGCTAATGACAATATGAAATAGAACATCGTTCAGCGCAGTAAATTAACAATTTTAGCAATTTACAACCATTTCTTTTAGTTTTGTTTTTGGAGAACCAAGTACAAGGCCACATTCAGTAGCAGGAATATATTGTTCAGATTTGGTTCATCACCTGTCATTTATCTTCACACTCAGTATCCTAACATGGCTCATTTCTTACAGTGTCCAACTTTCTTACCACATTTCTGGTGTCCAGAATTGCTAAAAGCAGCGTAAAACCTAACTAACTCACTCACTCACTTACCACCTCATGAAAATATCAAGTATTGAACATACAGTCTCTTGTGGCTCACAGGTAACCATCTTAATTAGTATCAAGACACAGAACAATGAAGGTACATACTTAAATCTTGTCCTGCAGCAGTATATGAAAACAATATAAAAATATCCTAAATTGCTTGAAAAATCTCAGATGGTTTATTTAAACATAATTTAGATACAGAAATGAACTTGGCGTCTGGATATAAACTTACATCATCACACAAGCATTTTAGTTCAATATTTTCAATCAATTTTCCAATCAATATTTTGTATCGTAATTGGTCACTGTGATATATTATGACAACTGATACAATATTATTGACACGTGATATTTTTAGAAGTATATTTCGTACAGCTGTGCATGTAAACAAAATTCCTGGGTGTATCATATAGCCTGCTACCCTGTCACCCATTCAGTGTCAACAACATGGAGTGGCCTGATTTGCTCACTCTGTACGCCTGACGTGGGACGGCTGTAGCAACATCTTGACAACCCCAGCAAACATGGCTAGGCTCAGATAGCGCGACTCCATGAATGGGGTCAACCAACCATAACTTCCTTATATTCTGACAACATAGTGTGTGTACCTTGAATACTTATGGCTACTGGGGCTTATAACAATTCTTTCTCACTGTATACGAGATCTACATTAATTGTGACATTTTTTCGTGTTGAATCATTTGTAGTGACGCAGAATTAGGTCGCTGATTCAAGGCTGGTATTTTTGTTAGAGTTTGGTTTCACTATATTCAGACAACTTTACAAGTGTACAAACTCACATGCTCTTGTCATGCTTGATGTGTTCTTGAAGCCACTGAAGGCACTAGTTGTCATGAAGAGTGACATGTTGCCATGGAGATGTTGCTTATATGAAATTTTCAAATCAATTCAATATTCAAAGTGATGAATGAGATACTCTGGATTATATATTTCTTTATATTAACCACATCATTTTAAGACAATCAATAGTCAGTACAGAAGAGTAACACCTGACTGCCAAAAGGAATAATAATAAAATAACAATAAAATAATAATAAAATAACAATAAAATAATAATAAAGTGTAAACAGTCAGAGTCAGTCTTGAATAATTTACACCTTAGATTTTTTTATGTTATATCCGTACAGTGTTTAAATTGACAAAACACTGCAGGTTCTCAATTTACAAAAAATGGAAAGCATAATCATGTAATCCAGACTCCAAAAAAGCGTTCGTGAATAATTTTTCAACGATTTGTTGCGTTGCAATATGTTTTGTGAACTACCTCATAGCTTGACCTTATTTATTTCACAAAGCAAGGTTAGTACACTGGATGTGAAACAGGCAGGTGTGTTTCTGCGTAGCGTCCCTCTTTTTAGACAGGTGAGAATGTCTCACCTAGACTAGCTCCATGTCTCTTATATTAAACTGACTTTCCTTAGACTGAGGTGCAATTGTGTAAAGACACACTAAGGTAAAATTGTTTATAAACATACTCAGGTATAATTATGTATAGACACACAGATATAAATGTGTACATATACACATTGGTATAATTGTTTATAAACATTCTAATGTATAATTATGTATAGACACACAGGTATAAATGTGTACAGATACACTTAGGTATAATTGTGTAAGACGCATTGAGGTATAATTGTCTATAACTACACTGAGGTATCAATGTGCATAGACGCATTGAGGTATAAATGTGTATAGAGACACTGAAGTATAATTGCCTGTAACTACACTGAGTTATAAAGGTGTATAGACACACAAAGGTATAAATGTGTAAAGACAATATTGCTAATAGCAGCAGAAAGCAATACTCAGAAAGACTATTTCATGACAGTATGTGTAAGAGCACTTTTACCAAGTTGTAAAATTGACTATAATTATTTATGTAACATATACTGTACAAAAATAGTTAGGGATATATGTAAATTTTGAAATTATGAATGATGATCTATTTATTCACTGACACACTGATAAAATATAAATCATAAAAATACCAATATCCCTAACTTATTTTGTCCAGTATAATTTCATAAGTTTCCATTAAGCTACCTTTGGCAGTTAAAATAAGTCTAAACATTACAGCATCCAGTATTAGCATATCATGCTGTGGCAGTGATAGTAATTTTACAACAAAGTCTATCACTACAGGGGCGGTGGGGTAGCCTAATGGTTAAAGCGTTGGTTCGTCACGCCGAAGACCCGGGTTCGAATCCCCACATGGGTACAATGTGTGAAGCCCATTTCTGGTGTCCCCCGCCGTGATGTTGCTGGAATATTGCTAAAAGCGGCGAAAAGCGGCGTAAAACCAAAATCAGTCAGTCAGTCAGTCTATCACTACAGTGCTGTTTATTTGCTCCAGTATTTTGGGTCATGAAACAGAAAATTTGACCACAGCTTTGGAGAGATGCAGCAAGTCTAGACAAGACAAGCAACAGCCTGATTTGTATTACCTCTTCAAACATGGGGTTTGTGCTGAAGCTGTAAATGTATTTGTTCAACAAGCTGTGTCAAGATTTCACCAACAGCCATTGCCACTTTGAAACATATTAAGTCTGACGGTTTTACCACAAATTACCAATAGCTGATGTTGAAATCAAAATTTGTCAAAACAATAAAACTTATGAAATCGATGTATTTATTGGATGCTGGTAACGGCTAGATGATTACTGTCATATAAAATATGCTGGTGTGATCTTATGCTTACAATTATGCTTGTGACACTGACCAGTCAAATTTGGTCAGCAACAAACAATTTAGATGACCATATTAGGGACCACTGGGACTTGCTGCTGTCTTTATGCTACCCCTATACTCCACATCACAATCCCTGCTGGCAATTGTGAGCAAGATGTGCGAAAATATTAAAAAAATGGATTGACACCATGGAAGGAAGAAACTACTTTGAATGATGTTGTCTCGCATATCCTGTACGTCATATCTTCCTTTTAGTTAGTTACGAGACTAACAAAAAACATCCCTGTAATTAGAAAGAAAAAAAACCCTACTTGACAAAACATGTTTGGCCGACAAATAAATGAATAGAAAGAAGACACAATATTTTATCACTGCTGTTTGAAATAGTGAATATGTGAAAAAACCCTTTAATTTTGATGAATACATGTATACTCAATCCATTTTCTTTTTGTATCTTATGTTAAAACTTGTTTGTTTTTTTATTCACTAGTAACCATACTATTCTGAAAGTTCAAAGTTTTTCTACTGCCTCCATTGAATATTAGGCCAGTAATTTGTAAACCAGCTTATAAAAAGGGAAAGGCTTCAAAACTGTACACAGTAACCTTTCTCTGCTTGATGTGAACACCATTTATGCTACTCAAAAGAAATTAGAGAACACACAATTCAGTCATATTGTTATAGTAAATCTGACACGCAAGACAGGGTGTTGGGGTAGCTAAGTGGTTGATGCGTTCGTTCATCATGCTTAAGACACAGGTTTGATTCCCTATATGGGTACAATGTGTAAAACCCATTTCTGCTATCCCCTGTAATATACAACAGTGAGATTGCTGGAATATTGCTGACAGCAATGATAGATTAACTACAGGAATATAAAGAATTGAGTGTCCTTTAACATTTTTTGAGTTGGATAAGAGTCTCATAAACCATTCTTGCTTCATGTGAAGCACATTCAAGGACAAATACTTTGAAGGGTTTTAAAAAAAAATACAATATTAAACCTTTTCAAGATATTGCCTTATTTATTGTGCCCTTGAAAGATAATAGTCCAACAGATAAATAACAAAGGGCAGAGGATGAAATATGAGTATCCTGCTATTTGGTTTACCCTTGAATTTAATGCAAATTTTGCACACTTCCTGCATGATTCACAAGCAGGATGGCTGCCCCCACACCAGATCCTGTTGCAGATACAAATCGGCATTATAATAGATCCTTGTCTTTTTAATGAGGACATCATATCCTAATGGTTCCCAAGTCCACCTCACCTATATATCACCTGTCGAGTCTTTCTGATTGGGTGGGTGAGAGTGAGTGGGTGAGAGTGAGTGCGTGGGTGAGTGAGTGAGTTTAACACCACTTTTAACACTCGATGTAGGAGGAAAGCCAGAATTGGTGCATGTCTCTGACCAGTGAGGCTAATCACTTGCAAGTTGACCGATTTGATAGGGTCACATAATGAATAATTATTTAAAGGGAAAGAATATGTTTTGTGTGCTTCCAAATGGTGGTTTGGGGGGGGGATATCACCTTTGCACCACAATACAGTGAGTGAGTGAGTTTGGTTTTATGCCGCTTTTAGCAATATTCCAGCAATATCACGGCAGGGGACACAAGAAATGGGCTTCACACTTTGAACCCAAGTGGGGAATCGAACCCGGGTCTTCAGCACGACGAGCGAATGCTTTAACCACTAGGCTACCCCACTGCCCTGCACCACAATACAGATACCATGTACCACTTGCTCTATAAGGGAAACATTATGTGAACAGCCTAGAGGCTTGCTTGATCATATGCTTGGCTTTGGCCAGTACTTCGATTTCTGATTTACTCAGATCACCCTGGGCAGTAGGAATGCAATTTATTAATTAGGCAACTGGCAGGTAACAATTAATTACTGTTTAACTGGACAGGTGCAACACTAAGATGATGTTTAACATAAAAGGTTTGTTAATGTAAGATAAGCACACTGCATTTTATTATGTCTTGCTTACAAAATCTCATGTACACAAATATTCAGACACTCAAGTTCAATACTATTTACCAAAACTATATTGTTCCTAAAACAAAACTCTTTTTCTCAAACATCAGAGGTTTACAGCATATGTCAGTATACTTACCTTAGTAACTGTAATCTTACTTGAACGGGTCTCTTTTTTTCCTGAAACCATTTCAAAGATTGACTAAAAATGTTTGTAAAGGTGAAGTGAAACCATTTTCATAACGACGGGCATGCGTGTGTATGTGTATGTGTGGCTGCTTGTACTAGCCCAGACTTAAGCTGGTTTTATAAGCCCACTGAGATACCATGCCGCGTCTTTATACTGATGCTTGTTGTATTTTACCATATTTTAACGTCGGGATAGTCTTCATCTATTCATGTAATAAGAGTGGTGGGGTAGCTTAATGGTTTAAGAGTTCACTTGTCACGCTGAAGACCCGGGTTTAATTCCCCATATGGGTACAATATGTGAAGATCTATTTCTGGTGTCCCTCATTGTGATATTGCTGGAATATTTCTAAAAGCAGCATAAAACCATACTCACTCACTCACTCTTAATGCAATCAGAGTCCATGAGAGACACTTGTCAAACACTGTAATTATGTCAATCATTAACTGCAACATTAAAGCTCATAATTTGACTTCTGTTTGACAATGTTTTTCTTTAATCCTTGAACCAAAATTGCTAAACTGCTAATTGGTCTGACTCTTTATATATTAACAAAACTTAGGATCTAACTAATTAATCAACTCAAATCCTTCAAAAAGTCACAGTTCACAAAAACCCATATTTTGCTGCGTTCACTCAAGATTTAAAGCGAACGTATTTGTGTGAGCTCATTGTACTGCACCTGCATTATAGCTGTCATCTGATTGGTCAGTCTGACACTCCATCTCCATTATGTAACCAGCTTTCCGGGGTCTCAAACACAGAGATTTTCCCCATAGAATGAATAATTACAGAGGCGCCAACTGGGATAGGAGTATGCTTCATTGAAGCAGCTACTTCAACAAAAGGAGCACCCAGATATCATAACTCAAAAATTCTGTATTTTTGCTTATCCACAGTTCATTGAAATCACTCTGCAACAAAACACAGGAAAATCAGAAAATGAGAATCTTAAATTTTCTTTTCTTCTAAAACAGTTATAAGCAAAACATTACTCAAACACCAGGGCTCCAGATAATTTTTCAACATCAGGAGTATGTACTCCTTATTTTTTCAATGTAGGAGTAATTGAAAACTGTAGGAGTACATTTAGAATACTGAACAGAAATGAATGGAGTATCAGTAACCTTGTGTTTAGTTTCATATATGCACCACAACATTGCTACTCTTGTGTAAACAGGTCAATGAACAATAAAACAATACTTTTTCAGATAAATACGTCTGTAAATGATTCTAAGACCATACACCATTGCTGTGGTGTGTATCTGCTACGCTTTCTAAATTATTTCCTACCGTATCGTGCATATTTTTTTATCTGTACATGTGCAGATACGACCCTTATCTGGAGACCTGAACACTAAAAATTCCTGAAGTATGTAAAGCGTTTTCCGATCTTGGAATGAACAATGATAAAATCCTACATATAGTGTTTGCTCCACTTCTTATTTATCAGTTCATCAAACTGGTAAGATTTTTATAGTTTTAAAACATATACATCAAACGAGTGAATTTTGTCATTATACAAATCACGGCAAAACAAGAAAAGGTTCAGATGAAAACTAAACTCCTGCATTTCAACTGACAAGACTTCCTACCCAAATCTGGATTATATTACAGTCAGGTACATTCATTGTGGAAGAGCTTGCATTGGGTGAGAGTTCTGTTGTGTGCAAGCATGAAGATCTGGGTTAGAACTGGTCTTCAGCAACCCATGCTTGTCATAAGAGGCGACTAACGTGTTCAGGGGGTCAGGCTCGCTGACATGGTTGATATGTCATTGCATCCGAATTGTGTAGACCGATGCTCATGATGTTGATCACTGGATTGTCTGGTCCAGACTTGACTATTTACAGACCGCCACCATATAGCTGGAATATTGCCAAGTGAGGCAAAATTGTAACTCTCGCTCACTTCACACAGAGTATTTACTAAAAAAGAGATGTCCAAAATCACGTAAAGTGAGTGAGTGAGTGAGTTTAGTTTTACGCCGCACTCAGCAATATTCCAGCTATATGGTGGCGATCTGTAAATAATCGAGTCTGGACCAGATAATCCAGTGATCAACAGCATGAGCATCGATCTGCGCAATTGGGAACCGATGACATGTGTCAACCAAGTCAGCGAATCTGACCACCCGATCCCGTTAGTCGCCTCTTATGACAAGATAGTCGCCTTTTTATGGCAAGCACATGGGCTGCTGAAGACCTATTCTACCCCGGATCTTCACGGGTTCCAAAATCACGTAAAACCCGTTTGGAAATGTTGCATATTCTTTTATATAATGCCTGCACTGAATGTAACATTAACATTATGAAACTGAACACCACACCATCTCTGTATTCCCAACTCCGCTGTGAAGCATCCATATCTATCTTTTTGTCAATGTCGTCAGCTGATATATCAAGGTGACCTACATTCTCACTGTATTAGCCACAGATAACCCAAACATTCCTGTGTTGATTTCTCACAAAATATACACCAACAATACCCCATAGTTCAGTGAGTTTTGTATTTGAACATACTGTTTTTATCAAGTACATATTATATGAAATTTGAAAAAAACTCCTTAAAGACATTAACCTAATGATATATTTCAGTTGATGATGAAACATCTGACCAGACTGGCTCAGCCACGGGAATTTGTAGCTTTCCACAAGTAAACACATAATTTATTGACCCATATATCCTATGGGCTAGGTAGTCCAGCACAACTTGACTGACCTGTTAAATTATTGTCATAAAAGTATAAATGTTCTTTTCATAAACAATATCAATTCATGGACAGTGTCGGTAAATATAAGGACAATTCTATCACCAAGGGGAAAAAAATAAAAATATTTTAATATTAATGTTTAGTTGCTTAGTAACTCCTGACAACTCTCAATTAACTTGACAAATGTTTTCATATTTCTGTTTTAACATTTGTTTCTGAGAATTGTTCATCATATGGTCATTGAACATACACACAAATGAATTCAAAGTTTATCCTCATCATCATCAGGAAATATTAACATTTGTTGCTGAAATTCATACACTGAAATAAATTTGTATAATCATCATTATCAGGAAATGCAACTATTTTTAGTTTAAATACATAGATGATGAATATTGATATTGGAACCACTTAATATGCATTAAGAAAGTCATTTGAATAATAAGTACTATACTCTCTGTATTAAATGCCTAACTGTTTTATTGTTTTATACCTGTTTGATCTCTGAAAGTGTATTTTAAGTTGTAGGGTTTTAATAAGTGTTAAGCCCTTTGGCAATTTTCAAAGCAGCAGGGCACTTCTGAAGGTGAATACTGTTAATTTTGTTTTGCCTATCTAGATTGTGTACCCTGGAAAAATATTTTTTATCCAAAACCCATATAAATTTTGTGATAAGTCATTTTGACATTTCTTCTGGAACAACCCTTTAAGAAGCATATGGATTAGGTGAGGTTAAATGGTGAATAATCAAACCTACTGGCTACCTGGCAACCACTCTGAAATTCTAATTTTGGTGCTTTTGCAAAAACCTTCTTCCCCTGCACCTGCCTGTCTATACTAACAAATAGTCTCTGAAATGA